AAGACAAGATCATACTTTGCATACATTATTAAACAAATTGCCACCACAATACCTATTGGTAATAGTAGTTGTTGGTGGAGTTGTGGGTGTTGTAGAAATAGGTATTTGATTTGTAAAAAAAAAAAAAAAAATTATTCAAGCCTAGATTAGTTTTGTCATTTATAAATTATATAATATAATAATTATAAAAAAATTGTGAATGTTCACTGAAAAGTAAAAATTGTTCAATCTAAGAAAAACAGAGTTCCAAACAACAAAAACTAAAATAAAAATGTTAACTGGGGAAGTGTTATACCATCCCTTATATTTGAAAAGTCACTCATAACTACAGTTGTTAAATTTATGGGTGTTGTTGTGTTTTGTGTTGTGTTGTGAGGTATTGAATCTGCAAGAACAATTTTACAACCATAAAGTAAGTCCTAAATACAATACAAACCAAAATTATTTAAGTCAAACTTCTTACTATAAAAAAGGTTTTACTACATATTAACATCATTATCAACATTATCATAAATATTCAAGCCACATCAAAGACTATACTCAATTATTGTTAAGCACTTACTAGTTGTTGGTGGTGTTGTTGTTCGTGTTGTTGTTGTTGTTGTTGGTGGTGGTGGTGTTGTTTTTGTTGGTGGTGGGGTTGTTGTTGTTGTTGGTGGTGGTGGGGTTGTTGTTGTTGTTGTTGTTGGTGGTGTTGTTGTTGTTGTTGTTGTTGTTGGTGTTGTTGTTGGTGTTGTTGGTGTTGTTGTTGTTGTTGTTGTTGGTGGTGGTGGTGGTGTTGTTGTTGTTGGTGGTGGTAATGGTGGTGTTGTTGAATCTGATGAAAAACATTTTAGAATTATGCATGTTAATCTCAAGTGAAATCTGACAAGTCAGTTAAGACAATAACTGTCTGTTATAACAAGATAGAGTAATGTAAGAATTAGTTTCAAGCACTCACTTGTTGGTGGCATTGTGGGTGTTGTAGTGTTCACAGGTGTTGTAGCAATAGGTGTTGAATCTGAAAAGAACATTTTAAAATAGTAAAGCTGACAATAAAAAACAACTGTGTAGTTTTTCTACATTGTAATGCACAAGTTTAATCTTAATTTACATATTAACTTTGTGTTGTTATATCAAAGAAGGCCACTCTAACAATCCATGATGTGATTTTGGAGCTATAATATTTGAAAGTGTTGCCAGAGTAGACAGGGATCTTTAAAGTAGGGATGGGCATTTTAAGTCATTTCCACATTATGGACAGTCACCCCAAATTAAAACTGTGGGGCTGATTGAAGAACAGTATTCAACAGGTGAATCATCACACACAGAAGATCATGCTGATGTTACAAACACAGTGCACCCATTCCTCAAACCACTGACATAACATGCCAGCTGTGATGGGTATTCCTTCCCTGCCATTAGCACTAATAACCACAGGTCAGCCATATAAAAATTGTCAATGTTTCCATGTAAACACTTGGACATAAAAATGGTATGGTATATGGTCGATGGTATATCGAAAATAAAATCTGAATAAATAAAAACAAAACCAATGATATTTTCAATACCTTCGTGCTGACTTGCCCATATTAGGGAAAATTATGATTTAAACAAATTATACAAAACTAGTATCATGTAGCTGACCTATTTTGATTTCTGATGTGTAATAATTACTTTAACAAATAGTTGCATTTTTTCAGTAGCTTTCCTGTCATGCGATCCAGTGACTTAAAATCAATAATGAATTGTTTAGAGCTCAACAGTGAGGTTCCAGAAGTAGAAATCCCATTCATATTCTGTATAAAGGATTTCGATTATTAACCATGATGTCGTAACCATCCAAGCCAGAGTTACCACGAGCTATGAGATTGTGAAATAATGGTATATGCTCCTAAAGAAGCCACATGTATGATTTCAACCTTGTTTTAACAAAACATGTTTTATTCGCAATCTCATGGAGAAGTACTACAGTGCTAACAGCGACGTCTCTGAGTGGTAGAGCTAGCTCTTAGCATGTAAATATTTACCACACCTGTGAATGTGAACCTGCTAATAACTAGTTACTTACTTAAAAAAAAAACGTTATGCACCTTAAACAGGTTTAAGCTAGCTAGTAAGTTACTGCTACCCATGAGCTCTGCAATTGTTTACGTTACCTTTAATACAGAGCAATTGTGATTTCTCTTTCTGACATGCTGATTTTTTTTAGTAAATAACTACAAGTCAGTATTTGTCAGGGCCACTATGAAAGACAAGACATAGGGGGTTGTGGTTATCTTCGCAGGCTGGATAGTTAGTTATGTTGTTACACCACAAACACACACACACACACACACACACACACCACAAATGAAAATTTATTACAACACTATTAATATAAACATTGTAATAAGGACAATGGTTACATTCAAGAAGAAGTGCACAACTATTGTTATCATTTGCAGTGTTTAATGGGATAAGTAGTTCCTTCACTCTTATTAATAAATATATGCACAATCTTCTATCTTTGCCCTTTTTTTGTTTTCCAAGCTTTCTTTTGCTTCAAATGAAATATGTCATGGTCACCATTCATCTCATAGTTGGTTAGTTTGGTTCCATCCTTAAAACTCTTTATTTAAATGATTTCCCAAAACATCAGTAAAGTAAATGAATGGGAAATTCATTTCTAGAACAAGTGGCATTCAAAAAGTGGGGGGTCACTGTTGAGCTCTATTATGACACTGGACAAATAGGACACAACTCTTTTTTTACTACATATTAACAAGTATATCATATACACACATTAAAGACTATACTCTAGACTATACAATTATTTTTAAGCACTTACTTGCTGTTGGTGTTGGTGTTG